TGTTTCTTTTCTTTTTTTTTTTTCTTTTATATTACTATTATTTTCTATTTTTCTTTGCAGTTTGGCTTTCTTAAACATAAAAGGTTTTCATTTAAGAAACCATATTGAGGAAATTGCTAGATACACTCCTGCTCTGCACGTGTGTACCAGTATTGAGAGAAAAGCAGTGGGTTCCCCCTGAGAGAAAAGCAGTGGGTTCCCCCTGAGGCATCCGGCATTGGGAGTATCATGGGGAAATGCAGCTGACATCTAGTCCTGCAGCCACCTGAATTGGGAATTTCCACTCCAACAGTGAAACTTCCACGCACTGCACAAAGTCCACAATGAATTGAGAAAAAAAAAAATTAATACAGGAAATCTATTTCCCCATTTTTTTACTTTTCCGAGTTTATCTAAAGCAGAGGCATCTCTGAAAACACTGCACGCAAGCACACAACCTTCTTCATACGCAGCCACCACAGGATTGCTCCATCCTCTAAACGCATCGGGTTGGTTCAGTGGCAGAAGGAGGCCATGCAGGGAGTCTATCCTATAGACAAACTCCAGTGCTATAAAACTGTAGGGTGTTAGAGAATCACAGAATGGTTTGGGTTGGAAGGGACCTTTAAAGATCACCTACTCCAACCCACCCCTGCCATGGGGCACATCTTCCACTAGAGCGGGTTGTTCAAAGTAAATAGCATCAGTCTCAGTACGGACCCCTGAGGGACACCACTTGTTACTGGTTTCCATACAGACACTGAGCCATTGACTATAACTCTTTGGATGCGGCCATCCAGCCAATTCCTTATCCATCTTACAGTCCATCCATCAAACCCATCTCTCTCCACTTCAGAGGTAAGAATGTTGTGGGGAGTTGTATCAATGGCCTTGTAGAAGTCCAGGTAGATGACACATATGGCTCTTCCCTTGCCCACTGATGCAGTCACTCCATCGTACAAGGCCACTAGATTAGTCAGGCACAACTTGCCCTTGGTAAAGCCACGTTGGCTGTCCTTAACCACCTCCCTGTCTTCCATATGTTTTGACATATCTTTCAGGAGGATCTGCTCCATGATCTTATCCAAGATTTGGTGGCAGAACATTAGGCTGAGGAACAGAAGCTTTGTGCCAAGATGAGCAAGCAACGTTAACACATACAGTCAGGCTCTCCCATGCAGCAAGGCTACTTACCAGAGTAAACCTGTGGAAAGTCAGTTCTGTGATAAGAGCATTTTCTGCATTAATAAGCGGGTGTCTTCAATTTAAATGCACTTAACTTTTCCCTAACTCCTCGCTCTCTGTGCATCACCTCCTCCAAGCATCTGCAGTGCAGCACACATTTGTCTGCCTGGGAGCAGGATGCGATTGCTGCAAGAGCCAACTTATGCAGCTTTGAGCATCACCCAGAGGGCTTTGCTTGAGAGCAGTTTATCAGCACTTGCTTCCCAAGGCTGCAGCGTGCACCCCAAGTAAAACTCTTATGCTAAGCAAGGAAAAGGAAAAAAGCAATAGGTCTTGAATGCAAAGTTTTACGCTGAAATGAAGAAAGTAATTTTCTGACTTCAATTCTCATTAGAAAAGCTTTGAGCCACTGCACAGTAATTGAAACCAAAAGAGTCTTTACTCTTGTAGAGCAAATCAGTCTGAACATGAATACGTAACAACCCCTGGAAAGACAGCAATCACCAAGTGTTTCACCTCTGCTCTCCTTTTGTTAATATTCATGTTTACTTTCTGCTCCTTTTGCTTCTGATTTCCCATCTGACAGTATGAAATGGAGCCACATGCATACAAATTACGGCTCTCAGCGCTCACAGGGGAACTGCTGGTCTAACCTGCAGGCAAGCCACACCAGCAACCTCGATGCAAAACACCAACAACTTCGATGACTTGGGAGGTTCCATGTTTCACACACAAAGCCCATGCTCAAGCGCTCTCCAACCCTACTTTTAGTTTTGCATCTTTTCCCTCAAACAAGTGTCTTGTAAGAAAAGTATACGCAGAGAAAAAGGATGCTTGACACCAACTTTAAGTGATGGAATTTGTATCATGTTAAGAATTAAGAAACAGCTTTGGAAAACTAAAGAGCACCTCCCAAAGCTAACCATGGCATGGACAGATCCGTGGAGGAATTTAGGTGACTAATGCTTCACTGAATTCAAATCGAAACCCTGACTTCCATAGGAAATGGGTATCGGGAACCAGTTTACCAGGTTTAAATGAGCTGTTGTGGACACACAACAGTAAATTCACCTATAAATTCACCAGTAGACCTGGGCTTCAGCGACTAACGTACGTCACCCTGGGTGCAGGTTTGTGACTTACTGGAACTGTGTGTTTCAGAACACTTGCCAAAATGTTCATCTGTAGGTACTTACAAATTTGGAAGGTATTGCATCTAATTTATTATTTACATAGCATAACTTCCACCCTTTGCTATCTCTGAGGAATAAATCCACTGCAACCAAAGGAGCTGGGAGCTGCAGAGGTAGGAAAGGGCAACATTGCACCGGGGAACCCCTCCTCAGACCTTCAAAGGTCACCAAAGACTGATAGCCCTGCCATTGGAAATCCCAGCAACATCAGGGGAAAATATAAATTTATTAAAAGAGAGATTGATTTTATTCTGCTAAGAGACACATGCCTTTAAAAACAGTCAAGTAGGATTTCTTTGCTATGGTAATAAAATAAAATAAATAAATCGGGCAGCAGCATTCCAGTGCTATCCAGAGGCTGATAGCGTGGTAATTTATATCTGATGGTGATAAAACCAGGAGCCAGAACAGATTGAAATTTATGGAAGCAAATTCTCGAAATTGCTTAAGCAGTGTAATACTCAAATCAGCTGAATTATTTCTAGTGCCTGTGTGGCTTTGCCAACACTTAAGGATAACAGCAAGAAACAGATAGAGCAACGACTGGTCACTGCTTGTCAAACTCAGACTTTAGCTAAGCTAAGCACTTTCAACCTGTATTCGTAACTGCTTTAAATGAAGTGCTTTGGTTGAGAAAATACGGGAGATGTCATAATCCATACAATAGGGGGGGGAAAAAAACCCCTATTTTCCTCTACGTTGACTTCATTGCAATATTCAAACCACAGCATAAAACAAACAGAATTCATCAGTACATACTCAGCTAGCCAGATAGGCCGAGTTTATTTTGTGGGAATTCCAGCACTCTGTGATTTACAGATAGGGATGCCTCTGGCAGCCTATCCACTGACTTCAGCAGGCTCTGCTGAGGCTAAGAACTGGGGAAAAAGAAGGTGCTTTAAAGCAAAACTTCATGCTTTCACACAAATAAGCGCATTTCACACTGGTGCAGCTTTCTCTCTCATCCAGGTAGAGTGCAAATGTCTAAACAGAAATTGTTCACCACACCTTCCAGCCTAAAGGGAGATCTGAAGCATCAGAAAACCCCTCTCCCTTCATCTGCCTCTCCTGGGCAAGGACTAGGAGGACCTTCTGCGCCCAGGGAGCAGCAGGAGACTGGTCACCAGGCTTCTAGAATATCATAAAGCAAGTAAACATTCTTATCCATGGGTAAACCAAAAGGCTGAGTGACTTCTACAGGTATTTAGATTTCACAGCGTAAAACCTAAGGTAAGATAGAAAATATTCACAATAGGTACCTAGGGGCTTCCGTCCCTCCAACCCACCATCAGTTCACTTGATCATACTGGGTTTTACTGGACAGTCAGGAAGACCTAAAAAGCCAAACTTCACCATTTTCTTCTTCAACTCCTTATTTCATACAAGCTTTCATGAAAAAGGCAATGGAGCTCCACAGAATGAAGTATATACTAGCTTTAAATGTCTACAGACATACTCCTTTTCTTGTTTCTAATATGATTATGGATTACTGCCCTTAGTCTAGAGCTATGTAAAAGTCTTCCAAGCAAAACAAAACTGTGTGTTGGGCAATTAGTTCCCCATGTCTAGAAAGGCAACAAGAGCTGGCTTACAAGTTGTTAGGATTTTAAGTACAAGAAGATACATTTATTTTCCAACTTAGAAGAAAATCAAGGTCATTTCAAAGCACACAATTTTGAAATATTGTTTGTTCAAGACAAGTTTAGACCCTAATATCATAAGCCCATGGATGATAGGCTTGAGCAAATACGCACCATCCTCTTTAGTTAAGAACATTTTCCAATGTTTTATTACTAATTCTGAGCATTATACAGAATACAGCACTGAACAGCTACATGGTTTGTCCCTGAACTCCTGATGTACCCAGAATTCCCACACATTTCATAATGAATAATAATTGCAAGATCAAACCATTAATCAAGACATCTAACTAAGATGAAACACATCAGCTCAGCAGCGGCCAACTGACACATAATTGCTTCTTGTTTAATTTTCTCAGAAGAACGAGGGAAAAAGAACAAGATGCCGTTGCTTTGCTCTATTCAGGATGAAACAAAGTTCACTTCTATGAAAGTTTCAGTGCCGCAGAACAACCATGAGGAAAGCCCAAAAAGAGACACGACATCAGTGTTAATAAATTTTATTGTTCCTTTGGGTTTTTTTCAGGCAGCTCCTACCCTGCAGCGTTCATCTCTGGGATAAATCTCGATCCTCCAGTAGTGCCGTCAACTCTGCAGGGAACAGGAAGGATTTCAAACCGATTCTTACCATTTTTAGGCTTCTAAGTGGCAAGTTTTATTTAACATTACATGCCATGTCAATAGACATTACCATCTCTTCCCCCTAGCATTTCAAACACTGTCTCTTTGTAAAATATGAAAGAGGATGTTAAATAAAGGGCATTGACTTTGAAGCTCCCAGTTAATTATTTGACTTGGCTAGCTGCTAGCAGAGGAATGAGGAAGAGGGCTGGGGATAGATAGGGCAAAGATGGGGAGGTTAAATCAGCGACAGCAATTCTCAATGTTAACGTTCACTGCTTTTAACATAATTTTCAACTGCCTGCATTTCCCAACCAGGTCCAGCCCCTGGCACATCACCAATATTTGCTTCTTTGCTTACTTTTCGCCTAAGGCTAATTTTCCCCAGCAGACCTCCCTGTCACACACATGCAAAAAATAAAATATAGCGACTTATTACCTCATCAAAACCAACAGCAAGAACACAGTGCATCCACTATTTCAGCAATATCCCTAAGAGAGAAAAGTTGCCTAAGTGGCTCTTGCAGGCATTTCCTTGCTAAGCTCTCAAGGCCTATGAAGTTTGTCTTCCACAACCCAAAAAGGGCCAAGGATTCAATTCCTTCAGTCTACAGGAGCCATAAGGTCAGTCCTGGCAATGACCCAGAATTTTGTCACTTCCAGAAAAACCTTCAGCAATGTACCTGAAGCTGCACCTGAAATCTATCAGAAAGTGGAACCTAAAGTAAACTTCAGTCGGTCACTTGTTAAATGAGCTGCTGGTTAGCTCTTTCTGCAACAAGCATGTAAATCCAGAGGTTTTCCATGTAAAATCTGAAGCAGTTGGCTTCACCTGAAAATCCTAAGAGAATTCAGAAGCCAATGGCTCACTGAAAAGTCCTCCTGGTCCCATATTCCCAGAGACAAGAGAAGCTCCCATTGCACAATGGGGAGAGGTGGCCGCAGGAAGGACATTTCTCACAAAGGAAACACCCAGATTTGGGATTTGCAAAGCCAAAACAGTTCTGCCGTACTGACTTACGAAGAACACTGCAAAGCCATTTTGCTCCCATCTGCAGAGCATACAGAGAAGACTTCGTTAAAAAGCAAGGTTTCTGTGTATGTGGTAACAGCTGCTGGAACTATTGCATTTATCATTACACAAAGACATAAGGAAAGGTTTATTTATCATATTTATACATGTGTCAAGGAGGACATAAATTACAGGGATAGTTTTTAAATGTTGCAAAAAAATGAAAAAGAAAGCAAATAACCACCAAGAGTTTCCCCCAGAGCCAGACCTGGGACTTGTGCTCTTCAAGAGGTCAACAGTCACCTGAGGACACCCTGTCCACCCATTCCTTGACAGTGCAGTCCATGAGCACCTCACAGCCAGTGCCTTTCTTGATGGCACATTTAAAAGCAAGACTACTGAAGGTGGGACAGAAGACCAGGCAG